TACTCAATGTTAACCTGAACATCCATTTATATATAACTACTTTTATATGTCACAAATTCTCATTCTTCTGGTGAAAAGATAGAAATTGTCTATTCACCATTGAATTTTAAAGAAGAATTTAATAATGACAAGAAAATACAAGCAAATTAAATTCGGCCTCTTTTATGACATGGCTAAACTAATGTGTCAGTAAACATTTCTTATAACTTTTCAGCAATTCTCTGAAAAAAGAAAATCTACCTCATCAGAAATTTTTTTTTTTTTTTTTAAACATTTTGTGAATTGCTGAAAATAATGTCTGATTGACAAAACTTTTACAGGTTTTTTTCCTCATGAAAATTAACATATTTCTGCTTATATTTTTTATCACCTGGTTTATTAATAGATTTTCTCATGAAAAATGGGAAAATAAGCATTTTTAACCTGATTTTTGATTAAAGGAATTTTTCAAGGCCTTTTCGCATCAACATTAGTATTTGAACTGTTTAAGATTTAATTTTATTTAAATTGCAAAAAAGGGAAATAAAATTAATAAAAGCAAAAAAACTGACATGAGAATTCTACATTTATTTTTTTCTTGTTGACATGAGGGTAAAGTTCAAAAAACAAATAATGTCAAGCTTTTAAAATGTACATTACGAATAAGATAAAGGAAGTTATCTTATGAAATGAAAAATTTCCCACAAGTGGACAGCACTTTTCTTTTGTAGCTGTTTGTGACACTTGACTACTTAAATGATTTCTTTCTACAATTCTTTTTGTATTAATTTGTGGAAAAGCCCATCTTGATTGAAACGGCTTAATGGGAAAAGAAATTCAGCCGATCCTCTGAGAGTTGTTGTCTCTCTCTGTCTCTCTCTCTGTCTCTCTCGTTTCATTAAAAACGACTGACAAGGTACCGCAGTTAAGTTTTTCTACTTAATTTTTTTTTTATGCTCTTATAATTTTCTTTTCTGGGCATAAATTATATACATATAGAAATCATCCAAATGTTCTGTATGGCCAAGCACTTTCAGCTATACATTTAGCCATTATCAAGGATGAATTTTATTTTTACTTTTAACTAAATGTATGGATATTTTATATATGTATCTAGAGTTATAGGAATGTTTTATTTTCCAAACATGGTCATCATATTGTGGCCATGTTCATACTTTATGTTGAATGTTGGCTTTTTCTTTTTTATTATTAGTGTTTCCATTATTTTTAGTCTTTTTTTTTTTTTTGTATGTGGATGAAGCTATTATATTTGTCTGTCATTTTTAATGAAACCTGTATAAAAGAGGGACTGCTGTCCATATGGCATACTCACTATTGGATGTAGGGATCAATGTTGACTTATTTTCACACCTCAAGCAATCTTAGACTATATATTAGATGGTAACTTGTAACTAGCCAATCCCTATTGCAGACGCTTGCTCAGGCACATTTGTGTTTTCTTAACACCCACAGAACTCATCTGTGGTTTATACTGCAACTATGCTGAGAAGACTTTAGTTACAGTTTCTGGGAGAGAGTGTGTTCATCAATCAGCAAAAGGTCAGCAAACTCAAACCCATACAGCATTTTAGAATAATTTTGCTACAATGCGAAGTTTCCTAAGTTGAACAAACTGAGGTTTTTGTTTACGCTTTGTTACCTCTCTTTTCCATTGCTGATTTTAGATTGCTTTCTTCCAGTCATTTTAATGGGCAATAGCGAAATTTTCAAATTTAGAATCATCTTATTCCAAATAAAGCCTGTAAGAAGGAATATTTTAAATTATGATCAAAAATAAAATGCTTTTGAAAAAAAAAAAAAACCTTAATGATTTCACTATAATTATGTAACAATAATGTAATGATATTCCGCAGACAAATCTACTGTTTATATTACCTCATCTCATTGCATGGTTACGAACTATAATCCTAAATTGAGCTTGAAATATTGTGTAATTGGCTCTAATTTTTTGTAAAATACTTGGATATGATAAAATGAATAATTTGCAGTGAAAACTTTTTTTTTTTTTTTGTTGAATACAACCCTCCGCCACCAAACACACACACACACACACACACACACACACACACACACACACACAATAAAAATATTTTTTACTATTAAATGAAAAGGACTACAGTTTCAACTATTGCAGCTCAATTGATGGCAATTTCCGTTATCTGCCAAGAATAAAAAGCATACATTCTGAAAGTAATGTCTCATTTTTACAAAAATATTCAGCTACAAAACTCACATCCCCCCCCCGGGGGGCAATAGTTAGTACTCTTGGGTATGCATTTTTTTTTTCTCATCAGCTCTAAACAAGGGTACTTTATTTTGTGGGTTAACAGCTGTCACCACTACCTGAATGTGCTCGGATCTATTTGCTCTCCATAAATGCTCAGATTGATAACAGTCTTAAAAATAATGATGTTATTGGAAGTTTCGGTGTTTACTGCTGACATCTGCTTCCGATGTTGTGGGATAACAGATAGCAGGTATTACCTTTGTGTGTATAATTTATGTTTCTTAACCCTACAACACTAACCATGGGTACATAGTACCCAGCGTAAATTTTCCTATTTTTAATTACAATTTTCAGTACCTGATTTTCTTACCTAAATAATGTTTTTCAGTTCCTATTAATGTTAACTCAAAGTACAAAGTTTGAAGTGCCTGCATGTAAAATATTTCAAATAATGATTTATATTTAATATTTTTAAAATCGGGTATGATGTACTCATGGTTAGTAGTGGGGTACCTTAATTGGTGGTTAGTGTTCTATGGTTAAGGACTCGTTAGCTTCTGCTGTAAATGAGTTCTTCCTTCTCCATAAGCTTCACTGTCTCACAACTAAAATCCCTTCCCACCAAAATTCTGGGAAGTGGTTTTTGTTTATAACTTTTCAGCACCCCCTTGTAAGCTTTATTTGTTATTTTGTCATTTTCATTCCTAACAAAAAAGAAAAAATATTTCTCCTTCTCTGAAAATTTTTTCTTGCTTGTGTAATTTGGATTTATTTCTCTTCCTATTTTATCCCTCCTCTTCCAAAACCAGGAACTCTCTGCTTTTCTAACCAACCTCAGTTTGGCACAAGGCTAAAATAGTGGGGCATCCATATTACTTACCTATTGCCAATATTGATTCACTCTTACTTGCTACCCATTGTTATGGCAGAAATCATTGTTTTAATCCTTTCCCCACAAAAAAAATATAAAAGAAATTAAATATTCGTTATTCCTGCCGCCAAAATTTGTGGCTGGGGGGGGGGTGTCAAAGAGTCGTCAAAAAAGAAGCAAATGTTGGGAGCTCATAAATTACAGGAATTTTGGGCTAAAAGACAATTCACTCAAAGAAGCCACCCTCAGAATCTATCACAGCCTTGACCCGACTCCAGAATAAGGCATATGTGGCTTTTATGATGTCCCTAAGGAAATCTTCAAATGCCTCCTTGAATGCTGTCGATCAGCTTGGCCTTGGTGTTACAGGCAGTGCCCTTGGTATCTTTCTCAACTGTGCCCCACACATAATAATCTATAGGATTACAATCAGGTGAGTTAGGAGGGGGCCAGACATTGGTGCTTGTGAAATCATATAAATTATCTGGCAACCACTTCTGACTCTTCCTGGAGTTTTGGCAGAGAGCTGAATGTTGTTGCCACACATATGGTCTTCTAGTAGCCACCCTTACCAACCAAGGCTTGACCATGGTGTTCAGCAACTCCACATAGCCATCTGAATTGAGCCTGAGACCCTGTTCAAAATGTGAGGTCTTCATGACATTAGGAACATCATATGTATTGTAGGCAATCTCTTGTGCAGCTGGTCCTGACAATAATTCATTTCATCAGCGAACTAAATTGTCCCTGGTTCAATAGGATGTTTCACCTTGTTCAGAAGTTTCTTTGCCAGACAGTTTTTTTGAACCTTTTCTGTAAGAAGTTGACTGTTACACCTCTTGCATGACTAGTAGCGGAGGTCCTCATTCAAGGCCAGGTTCATGGCGGAAATTGCAACACTCATTTCCTATGCCAAAGCCCCCTGGGTCTTCCATCACTTTCTCCTCTAGTTGGATGAATTCTGCTGTATGGAGGCAATCAGAAGTCTGTTGGGTTCTTTCCTTCAAGCCATGGTTTCATAGTCTCTCTATTCTACATTTTAGTTCATGGTGTTTAAAGAGCATTGAGCAGCAGTCACAATTGCAGCATTTTGATGCCCAACATGAATCATCATGAGGCAGGTTACTCTTTTCCAATATTCAGGTGCGTCCTGGGTAAGACAATAAACTGTGTCCAGCAGCAAGGCCTCTGATCAGGAAGTTTTGAGGAGCTTGGAACCACCTCTTAATTGCTGATGTTTCCAGGTCCACCCTGACCTGGGGTGGTAGCACCTGTTAGGGTCCCAGCTATGGGCAAATAGTTAACTATTACCAACAATACAATTTGAAGGAAATATATTACCAGAAACAGATTTTTGACAAAACAAAATATTACCAGCAATAAAATTTTTTGTCCGCATTGAATAACCCATTGAGGTTGATATGCCGTAAAACAAACCAAACCAAAGTAAACATACTCTGTTTATGCGAATCTATCCTAAAAATGTTGTCGGCATTAAATAACCCATTGAGGTTGATATGCCGTTAAACAAAATAAACCAAACCAATATTCAGGTGGCTTAAACTTGTCCATGTCAGTTAGTTTTGGCACTACTAAAACTGTGGTGCCAGTGTGTTGCAATGGCGTTCACTGTTTACAAATATTGCAAATGAATCTGAAAAAATAAAAACATTAGAAACTGTGAAATTTAGTCCAAACTTCTTGTACTTATTTCTCTTTTAGACTGATTCAATTGCAGTTTAATTTATTCAGTTCTTGGTCTCCCTTGGGCAATGGCCGAACGTATGAGTAATGTGTTACAAGAGTCTGTATTTAGCCACAACCAATATGAGTTGGAAAGTCTAAAACAAAAAAATGTTTCTCTCTGTCTCATTCTGTCTTTATTTTTTTTTATCTTTGCAGAGTCCGAATTCTCAGCACTTCACATTTTGTGCAGACATTAATGCACATACTGCAAGTAACTGTTAGCTACTGCCTCATGCTTCTCTTTATGACTTACAACGTGTGGATGTGTGTAGCGATCATTCTTGGTGCTGGAGCCGGCTATTTTGCATTCGGATGGAAACGAGCAATTGTTGTCGACATCAATGAACACTGCCATTGAGAATTGCAGCTGGAGGGGGTGGGGGCTTCTGATTTTGATTCCCCCCCCCACCTCCCTCATTCAGATTGTTATACAAAAAAAAAATATCACCACCATAAACTGTTAAAAAATAACAAATAAAAAAAAAAAATTAAAATTGTTATGTTGATCTCCTTCCCCACTTAGAATTTTAAAATATTAATTTGTTTTAATTTTATATTTGTCCATTTAAATAATATCCACCCCGTAAGAGAAATTTGACAGTATTATTTTAATTTGTTTTTTTTTTTTTTTTTTTATTATTAAATGACAAGCTGTCTCGATATAAACAAGCATCTGTGGCTGTTATATATTCTGGAAGGTGACCCATGTAGATATTGATCTATTTAGCCCATATTTTCAGCTGTCTATTTTAGACCCAAACCCAATTTTGTTGAGGAGTAGGAAGAGAAAGAGAGATAGGTTTGGTTTAGGACACTTTACAGCAGTCACTTTGTTTTTATATATATATATATATATATATATATATATATATAAAGACATTTTTATGTTTATACATTCTTTTTTATAGATACAAATATTTAAGTAAATGTTCTGTTTAAACTACAATTTTCCATGATTAAAAACAGTAAAATCGACCTTGCTAACCAAACACTCCCCTGTGGCCAAATCGGTTAAAGGCACGTCAGGCTATATGACGGTTCTGTATAGGATACAGGTTCGATTCCTGTCGGAGGAGGCATATTTTCCATGACAATTTCTCGGACACTCAGGCCAGTAAATGTTGTTAATACTGTTTATTTTAAACAGAGCATTTACGTAAATATTTGTATCTATAAAAAAGAATGTATAAACGTAAAAATGTCTTAAAATAATTGCCAGACTTTGTCCATTTCATTATATATATATATATATATGTATGTATGTATGTATGTATCTAAATAAAAAGAAATAACAGCAAGATATTTTTAAAAAATCGTAATATACTTGATGTGATAATAATTCTACAAAATGTAAGGGATTCTAATTATATTTAATTGTTCTTGAAAGAAATATAGTATATTAAAAATTAAAAGTAAAAATATTTCAAATTATACTTAAATAAAATGTATTCTTACCTAAACAACCCCCCCACCCCCCAAAAATCTTTAAATATACGAAAGGAAAAAAATGCTGTAAGAATTTTAGCCGTTAACAATAATACATCCCTTCCTATGAACCAAACGTAGCAATAACTGATACATTTAAATTATAGACATATTGAATACCCAGTCACCCCTGTCTAGAAAAATAGATTTATCTGTAATCTTGGAAACATGAATTTTGTTTTAGCTGTGTATTTAAAACCCAGTAATTTTAAAAAGTTACTCAAAATTGGCTTGAGGATGAAATGGAACTAATGTCTTTAATTTAAACACAAAATTAAATTCGGGGCTTTTAGCTTCCATTTTTGAAACATGGTTAGAACTGTGTAGCGGAAAATAACCATATTTTAAATCAATTAATTTATAATATATATAAAAAGAGAGAAAAAAATCAATCAATAAGAAGACTTTTAATGCTGCCAACAATATAATTATAAGTAGGATTTTATTTCATTATCCTCCTCTTTTTATTTGCCTTGCATTTGTGCATCCATAAGGAAGCAATGTGGCTTTTACTTTGTCAAAGATGTGGGGAGGGAATTCAAAATAAAACAAGTAAATATCTTGAAGTAGAAATTTCTGCATTTGGATAAATTAATCATGTATAAATTTGGAGTAAATCCAGAAAAATTTTGTTTGATATCCGTTATGGTGCAACAAGTAATATACTATTTCGGAAATTACAAAATGAAGACTAGTTTCAATAAATTGATGCATAACTCTTTGTTCTGGAAAGTAGAAATTTCCTGGAAGAACCCTAGCTGCTCTTTTTATAATGGTAAGGATAATAATGATAATAATAATGATAGCCATTTCCTTATAAGGAATTATTCAACATTCATTGACTGAGCAGCCAGTGCTACATTTTATAAAATCTTAGCTACATTTTATAAAATCTTAAATACAGTAGCTGTTATAGCTTTTTACACTATTGATGGGGTTTTCTTTTCTAACCTTTTATTTGAAGTCTTGTAGAATGTCAACATCTTGATTATGTCATTATTTTCTCTTCGTGTTCCATATGCTATTCATTTTAGTTGTTGCTGCTGTTGAAAGTCCTCAAGTGATGCAGTTTCTATTATTTGATACAGTTCTTTGTGATTCTATAGTGCCAGTCCACAATGTCTGGGGAAGACAGAAGTAACTAAATAGCATCTATAGAAATTTATTTTTATTTTGATATTTGTAAAGACTTAATTTTTTTTTTAACCACACTAATGTTAATTTTGAGAAAAACCCAACATTTCTGCCCCAGTTCCTTGTATTTTCAGGAAAATGTCCTTGTAAAATCTACACAATGACTTAATGGATTCTGCTGCTGACAAAGTTTGTTTGATAAAAATTGTTGTAGAAAAAAATATGTCTGTGAATTTGTTTCTAAAAACTGAAAGATCTAATAAAAAAAAATTACAGGAGTATATATCTATAAAGCTAGATGTGGCTTATCAGCCTGGGAAGGCACTCAATCTAGGAGTAGAAAAAGTCTGATTTTACACCTCTGCTACCTTGCAGTCATATCTCAACACAGAAAAGGTTAGGGAATTAAATCCTGAGCAGAGCCTGAAAGTGTTTGATCGTCAACTCTTGCCAGCAAGTTGGACCCCAAATGTAATAGACTTGTATTCCTTTTGATGTTGCTGGTATTGACAAGAGGGTGACCATGTCGTCTAGGCAGCACATGGCCTTCATATACCATCACCCTAACCCAGTGCTCTGGAGAGGGTCTCTTTATTAAAGGACTCAATTTCAAACAGAGTGCTACCATTATCTCACAAGATAAATGGATGCCTATTAATATTTATATACTTCTCTATTTCTTTCTTTTTCTTTCTTTTTTTTAAAGTGACCATCTCTTCAGCCCCAATACCTTTGCTTCTATCAAAATGGTTTTAATATCAATAACCAAACCATGTCTAGTCGAGACTCTGCAAATCTTTCAACTCCTAACATCTAAAATCTCTTTTTTTTTTTTTTTTTTTTTTTTTCTTTTTAAAAACTGTCATGTTAAAGCTGAGGGCAAGGTTTTCATATACTACCTATCTAGTACATCTCATACTTGTAAAATCTTTCAAAGTGAAGGATAGTCTTATATAAATATGGACATATATGATTTTTTTTATTTCTTTTCAGTGGATAAAAGAAAAACAAATGTTTAATCACAGGAGTCTAAAGAAAACAAAATTAAAACGTTAAATTTTTTTTTTCTCAAGTTAAGAAAATAAAGTTTCTATTCTAATGATAGTTTGTCTTTTATTAAGTTGAGTGGAAATCTTGTTTGTGTTTTGATCAAAATAAGATTGTTTATTTATCAATATAAAGTGGGGGAAAAACTGACAAAAGAAACAAATACATATGAGCATGAATGCATACAATATGGAAAAAAAAAAAAATGATTATTAAAGAGCAAGAAGAATAAAAAAAAAAGGAATCAACAAGACTAGATAACAATTGACATTGCATTTAAATTTTTGAAAATCAAAGTTGACTGGAACAAAAGAAGCCAGAAGAGCGTTCCACATGTGAGAAGTTCAACAGAAGAAACTTAGCATAAAGAAATACGGTTACATCTCTTGCCATTTCAACTGTAAATTGATGAGATCTTGCTACCAATCTAGTTCTGCACTTCAATTCATTACACCTACATACTGTAGAATAACAATACAATAAACAACACTTACCGGCGTAAGAGTCCCAGCTAGCATCCAGCTGGCAGACAAAAATAAAGCAGGTTGTAACTTAATACAAACCCTGCAAACTAACTGAGGAATCAAGCTGGTATTTATATAGAAATACTTCCACTCAGGTACCAGCAGCCAATCACAGCCCAAGCAATGGACTATCCCACTTTAGTTCGACACGTACCATCAAAGAAATTTCATCAGAACAATTACCATGAAGCTATTTATAGAAAAAGCACAAGGAAGCTACGTTACAGCAATGGGAAACTGACTGAAGGTGAGATGCCAGGTCAGGACCACTAACATTGCAGATTCTTTGGTTTTTATCAAAAATCTCTAAATATATAGCAAGAGAACCAGAACAGCTGTGGCAATATTCAAAGTATGGACAAATGGTAAACTTATAAATATTTAAGATAGATTTCAGAGAGAAAAAAAATTGTCTAGCATGACACAAGGAACCAACTTTCCTAGCAGCTGAACTAGCAATTGATTCAATATATATATATATATATATAATCTTTCCCTTAATGTCAGCAGAGAAGGCACAAGTCACTCTCCTGGAGGTTAGCATTAGCCATACTAATAGAAAGCCGTCTCAGATGATTAATAGAAAAGTTTTTCTTAGAGACATCAAAATTAACAGACCATTCCTTGCCCCAGTTAACAGATTTTCGGTCACTTTTGAGATCTGCTGCCAATTAACCTTATCAAACTGATCACTCACTATTAATTTTTTAAGACAGGATTAAATAGTTGTGTCATCTATTTACACTGTAATTCATTGGATTCTGAGTTTATAATCTAAATCCTAATGCACTTTTCAGAGCAGAAAATGACTTTGAATAACAAAGAAATATAATAATAATACCTTCAATGAAAAGAATTTCTTATAAAAAAGCACAAAAAAACTGATTAGAACTGAAATCATTTTTAAAATGTTTAGTGACTGAATATAGAAATCTCAATTAACTAAGGACAGCAAAGTTGGTTAAGATACAATGCTGGTAGATAGAAATAAAACTGCATTTATTTAATGCCAAAGTTTTGTATATTTGTACACAATAACAGGCAACCAACTTTACATTTAGATTTGATTTTTTAGAGTTCTAAGCAGGCACAATACTTCAAAATGTTATTTGCTAGATGAAAATTGAAGAATGTCTTTCTAATAACAATTCAAAAACATTGGTTACAC